ATACAGAGATTTCTTTAACTGAAATACCGAATAGTTTCTTGGTGTGAAAAACTATAAAAGTACACAGGATCCTAATGAGATAATTAATAATGTGAAATAGGAAGAAAAGGGCTAAAGGTGTAGGGAAAGTGGGAAGTGTGGGGGAAAGGTAATAAGGGAGAAGAAAAAATATGAGAAACTGAAAAAATGGAAATAAAGTGTTTGTAAATGGGGAGGGGAGGAGGGGGTGAAGGGAGGGCAGGGGCAAGGGGAAAAAATGAGAATCAAGACCTATTATGTAAAGGTACAGAATCCCAATGATGAATGTAACTGTACTGCATACCTAGATTGTACCAATAAACTCAATAAAAAGAAAAAACATCAGTAGCTTTCCTATATACCAATAACAAACTCATTGAGAAAGAAATTAAGAAAAAACCCATTCATAATAGCACCAAGAACTGCACACTTAGGAATTAACCTAACTAAGAAAGTGAAAAACTTGCACCATGAAAACTATAATACTCTTTAAAAAGGAGACTGAAGAGGACATCTGAATATAAAAAGATATATCCTGATCCTAGATAGATAATCAAAATGACCACACTTCCAAAACCGATATATAGATTTAAGTCCCAATCAAAATACCAGCATCATTCTTCACAAAATTGGACAAAACAACCTTAAAATTCACATGGAACTAGAAGAGACCCATCATGGCAAAAACAAGAGCAATCCTGAATAACAAGAGCAAAGTGGGACATACCATAATCCTGGATTTGAAGTTATATGAAGCTATATTAAGTTACATTAAGAAGAGCATGGCACTAGCGCAAAAACAGACACATGAGTCAATGGAACAGAACAAAGAATGCAGAAACAACCACAGCTATATTTGAGCTTTGACAAAGGGGCCAAAAACACACCAGAGAAAATATAGTATCTTTAATACATGATGCTGGGAAGATTGGCTATTCACATGCAGAAGACTGCATGTCTCCAGACATGGTAGTGCACTCCTGAAATCCCAGTAGATGGGAAGCTGAGGCAGAAGGATCCTCATGAGTTCCAGTCCAGCCTGGGTTCCACAGTGAGTTCCAGGCCAGCCCGAACTACATAGTGAGACCCTGTCTCCAGAAAAACACAAACAAACAAACCAAAAAACAAAACCAAATGATTGAACCTTGACTTCTATCTCTCATCACATACTAAACCAAAATCAAAATGGATCAAAGATCTAAATGTTAAGACAAAAACCCTTAATCTGTTGAATGACAGACTAGGTAAAACTCTTGAAGTCAAAGGCATAGGAAAGGATTTTCTGAATAGAACTCTGGTCGCACAGGAAATAGTACCAGGAGTCAACAAAAGGGATCATATCAAATTTAAAAGCTTCTGCACAGCAAAAGAAACAATCAACAGCATGAAGAATATGGGCAAAAATGTTTTTTCCAGCTATTCCTCAGACAGAAGACTAGTATCTAAACTATACAAAGAATTCAAAAGAATTAGACATCCCAAACAAAAGGCCCAATCAAAAACTGGGCAAGTGAAATGAATAAACACTTCACAGAAGCACAAATGGCCAGTAAATACACAAAGAAATGTTCAGCACTGCTGGCTATTAGAGAAATGCAAATTAAACAACACTGAGATTCCATCTTACCCCACAAAGAATGGCTATCATCAAGAAATCAAGTAATAACCAATGCTGGTGAAGCTGGGGGAAGGGTGTGAAACAGGAACTCTTCTACACTGTTGGGGATATGAACTAGTACAACCACTATGGAAATTACTATGGAGATTCCTCACAAAACTAAAAAATAGGAATTCTTTTGACCCAGTTATTTCCCTTCTAGGTGTCTTCTTGAATGAGTTAAAGAATGACAGGTTATTACAATGATTCATTTATAGCCATGTTTATAGTAGCCACAATTTATAATAGCCAAATCTTAGAGGCAGCCTATATGTCCATCTGCAGATGAATGGATAAAGAAAATGTGGCATTTACAACAATGGTATACTAATCTGCCATAAAGAAGGATTAACTTCTGATAAAGCAAGGTCCCTACTATGCATCATAAAGCAGGTACTAGATATTTTACATTCATACAGAACCGTCCTACATCAATAATACTAGATTCAGTTTTGGTTTGAAATTTAGTTTGTCTGCAAATAAGATTAGAGGTATGATACAGAACCGTCCTACATCAATAATACTAGATTCAGTTTTGGTTTGAAATTTACTTTGTCTGCAAATAAGATTGCTACCCCTGTTTTTTTCTGGGCTCCTGTCACATGGAGAATTGTTTTCTGTCTTTTCACTTTCAGTCTATGGGCTTTATCAGAGCTACATTTAATGATATTACTCTAGAATGTTTTCTTTCCAGATGATGATTAAGAGGCTAATAGAAAAAATTGTGCCAGGTACCACAGCAGCAATAGAACTTGGCTGTTGTCTGGATATTATTCTTTTTTGTTTTTTTGTTTTTTTAATGGAATGTGCTGAATGTCTATAATTTTGTTCAGATGACTGCAGAACCTGGAAAAGCTGTTGCTGCTATCAATGCATAACATACTATTATTAGTCTTTATATATATATATATATATATATATATATATACACACACACACACACACACACATATATATAAATTGAA